TCAGTAGATGAGTAGATAAAAAAGCTGTGGTAAGCCACAGCAATTTTGAAAAAGAAGAACAAAGTAGGAAGGATCACATTACCAGATTTCAGGTTATACTACAATGCCACTGTAATCAAAACAGCCTGGTGCTGGCACAAGAACAGGCATATAGACCAGTGGAACAGAACAGAGAACGCAGAAATGGACCCAAGGCAATATTCTCAATTAATATTTGACAAAGGTGGCAAGAGCATACAGTGGAGTAAAGACAGCCTCTTTAATGGTGTTGGGGAAATTGGACAGCTACATGCAAAAAAATGAAACTAGACCATCAACTTACACCATACACAAGAATAAACTCAAAATGGATAAAAGACTTAAATGTGACTCATGAATCCATAAAAATCCTAGAAGAAACTGTAGGCAACAAAATTTCACACATCATATGTAGCAGAATTTTCACTGATATGTCACCTAAGGCAGCAGAAACAAAGGAGAAAATGAACACATGGGACTACATCAAACTCAAAAGCTTCTGCACAGCAAAAGATACAATCATCAAAATGGAAAGGCAACCCACTGTATGGGAGAGCATAATTGCCAATGATATATCAGATAAGGGGTTAATTTCCAATATATAGAGAGTATTCATACAATTCAACAAAAGGAAGACAAAAAAAAACAATTAAAAAATGGGCAGAGGAACTAAACAGATACTTCTCCAAACAGGACATACAAATGGCTAAGAGACATATAAAGAAATGCTCAACATCACTAATCAGAGAGATGAAAATTAAAACAACAATGAGGTACCACCTCACATATCAGAATGGCCGCCATCAACAAATCAAACAACAAGTGTTGGTGAGGGTGTGGAGAAAAGGGGACTCTAATACACTGCTGGTGGGAATGCAGACTGGTTCAGCCACTATGGAAAACAATATGGTGTTACCTCAAAAAATTAAAAATTGATCTTCCATCTGACCCAGTGATCCCACTTCTAGGAATATACCCTAAGAAGCCTGAAACACCAATCAGAAAGAATATATGTATCCCCATGTTCATAGAAGCCCTATTTATAATAGCTAAAATCCGGAAACAGCCCAAATGTCCATCAGTAGACGAATGGATAAAAAAGCAGTGGTACATATACACAATGGAGTACTATGCAGGTGTAAGAATGAAAGATCTCTTATCCTTTGAGATGACATGGAGGGACCTGGAAAGTGTCATTCTAAGCAAAACAAGCCATATAGAGAAAGTCAAGTATCATATGATCTCACTTATTTGTGGAATATAATGAACATAACAGTCTGAGGAATGGGGTAGTCCCAGAGACATCAAAGTGAGGTACAGACTGACAATCCCCAGAAGAGGGAGTGGTGGGGGAGAGATAAACCACAGAACTTACATGCATGTATGCATGAACAATGGACATGGACAACGAAGCTGGGGACAGAGGGAGGAGGAAGGGGGAATCAGTGGGGAAAAAAAGAGAAACATCTGTAACAAAAACAAATAAATTAATTAAATAATAAAAAAAAAAATCTGTGGTATATTTGCACAATTGAATACTACGTAGCCCTAAAAGAGAAGGAAATCTTACCTTTTGTGACAGCATTGCTAAGTAAAATAAAGAAAAATGCCATAAGATTGTACTTATATGTAGAATCTAATGAACAAAATAAACAGAATAGAAACAGATTCATAGATATAAGGAACAGAATGACAGCTGTCGGAGGAAAGGGGGTGAGGGAGAGGTGAAAAGGGTGAGGGGTTGAATTAAAAACCACATGACACAGACAACAGCATAGTGATTACTACAAGGAAAGGAGTTAGTGGGTAGAAGAGAGTAAAGGGGGGATAAATGGTGATGCAACAAGACTTGGTGTAGTAAACACACAATACAATATACAGATGATGTATTATAGATTTGTACACTTGAAACCTTCATAATTTTATTAACAAATGCACCCCAATAAATTCAATTAAAAGGAAAAGTCCATGCAAAAGTCTTAGCCATTTGGATTGGTCCACGCAAATCTGTTCCTCTCTCTGAAATGCAGCTGCTCAAAGGAAGCACAATATACTTTTGAGCACCTTGAAATGTTTGTCAATTATGATATAACTTTAAAGAAATCAGCTATGAAAATAAACATGACTCACATGTACAGAGCCTCAAAAAAATGATGCATATTAAAGTAATTTTTTAAAATTGGAAGACAAGTAAAAGTTAATTTTAGGTTTAAATTTTTCTTCCTTTATTGATTTTAGAGAAAGAGGAAGTGAGAGCGAGAGAGAAATAGAAACATTGATGAGACAGAACATCAATTGGCCGCCTCCTACATGACCCCCACTGGGGATCGGGCCCACCACCTGGGCATGTGTCCTGATCGGGAATCGAACAAGCAGCCTCTTGGTGCATGGATCAATGCTCAACCACTGAGCCACACCAGCAGGACTAATTTTAGGTTTAATGAATTATGTTGAAATACAGTATATAATTTTATTTATAGGATATCAGTTTCTTTCCCCTGCCACTAAATAAAAGTTGAACAAGCATTTTAAATGTATTGGTCTGTGCAGGGTACAAAACGTGTGTCAGATTGTCCCTAATGGCATGTGAGCTCCTTTATCCCCAACTGTATCTACACATAGTTGGTATTATTCAGTAAGTTTTCTGAAATGTGTGGGTAAATGAATTATTGAAATGAAATAGATTTATACAACTTTAATATGTAGAGTTCCGCTCTCTAATTTGATTTTTTTTCCCGCCTGTGTTTGTCTTGGATGATTGAGTGTGTATATCATTTGAGCAAATGATCTCAACTTCTGTTATACATTGTTATTTAAAAATTTGTACCTTGAAACCCTATCCTTTCATACGACAACATGTGACCTTATTTTGACTAGGGCTGTTGCAGATGTAGTTAGTTAAGATGAGGGTGTAGCCCTGGCCGGTTTGGCTCAGCGGTTAGAGCGTCGGCCTGCGGTCCGGAGAGACCCAGGTTCGGTTCCCGCTAAGGGCATGTACTTCGGTTGCAGTTTGTCACCGGCTCTGGTTGGTCGTGTGGGTGGCAGCCACTCAATGTGTCCCTTTCATGTCTATGTTTCTCTCTCTCTCTCTCTCTCCCTCCCACTCTATCTGCACAAAAAATGGAAAAATGTCCTCGGGTGAGGATAAAAATAAATAAATAAATGAATGAATAAATAAATAAATAAATAAATAATGAGGGTGTATTAGATAGATGGGCTCTAACACAATATGACTGGTGTCCTTATAGAAAGGGGACATTTGGACACAGCCACGTACACAGGGACAGTGCCATGTGAAAACAAGGCTGAGATGAAGGTGATGTTAGATGCCATTTTTATTTTTCAGATACGTATATATATATATAATTTTCTTTCCATATATATGGAAAGAAGAGTGGTTCAAGAGTCTCCTAAAACACAGCTCTGGTCATGTTATTCCCAAGCTCATCAACATTTCATAGTTTACTATTGAGTAATATAAATTAAAAGGCTTCAACTTATGTATTGTGGCCCCAAACATTCCATTCTAGTCCTTTCTTCTTTATTTTTCATCCCTTCCTTTATTCTGTTCATCTATTGTATCACCTAATGAAATTACACTATTCAGTCCCCAAACCATGCCTTGTTTTGCTTAGTAAAGATTTTATGTTGTTTCCTTCACCTAGGAATAGCTCGTACCTATTTAACGAAATTATACTCATTTTCCAGACATCTCGCAAAGGCCCCTTTGTGAAGCCTTTCCTACCCTGCCAGCCAAACGACCTCTTTCCCTCTTCTTGAGCCCCAGCGCACTAATCTTTTTCCATCTCACAATATAGGCATATGTGCATTTATCTTCCTTCCCTTTCCACTGTACTGGGATTTCCTTGAGGCAGAACGTGACTCTTTTTCCTCTTTGGATCCCCGGTGACACCAAGATGCCAAATGAATTAGCACCTTCGGAACAGAAGATATAAGACAGAGAAACTTCTTTAACTTCAGTTTCTACAGATTAGCCCTGCAGAATATATAATGAAAGATCAACTATTATTGGTTGACTCAAACTGTACTTTGGAAACACATGATCATACCTTTGGTTTATCATAGTTCTCCAGAGTAATGATCTGAGTTTAGATTTGTTTGGTTGTGTAAATAAGAGGAAATCTATGTAAAAGAGACTATGGTCAAGATGTAAACATCCCTCCAAAGCTTGGCACGGAGTGTATTTAATCTGATTTCATCCCGTTGTTTGCTCTGATGATATTTAAAAGCAACCACTCTGTACAAACATACAATACCAGGCTGTGGAGGATAATAAACTAACCTTTGGGTAACATCAATCTAAAAAATGAATATTGGTAACAATATGGCCAAATTGTAGTTCTTAGCTTTTGGTACTTGCACCCATACCTTAAAAAGAAACAAAACAAAACAAAACTTTAAAAAAAAATTGGATAGCTTTTATTACCTCTCTCTCAATCCATGCCTGAAACAAAAGCAACTTTAAAATGAATTGGTTTTATGAAGGCTTTGTTTCTAGATGCCTGTGATAAATTTTATTGATCTTGTCTGTTTTCTCTAGTAATTTTCCTGTGGACTTTTACCTGAATTACTTCTAGCCATGCTCCTTAGGAGGGTGTATAATGCTGCAGGCAGCCTGGTTTTGAATCTTCCATCTGCAGTCTAGTTCCAGTCCACCTAAGGTATTTCCAGGCAGAAAGTAGCCACTATGCTTCCTAGTTTTGTTTTGTTGTTTGATTGGAGGATAGGTTGAAGAGAATATAAATGAATAAGTTTCTTGCAGCTGTGATCAATTATAGAATATTATTCACTACTGATGTAATTCTTTGGTTCATACTTTATTGTTACCTACAAGCTGAAACTGACAAAGCTAGTATCTGAGTCGATAATAATACGCATTGCTAGAGATGACTGATAATGCAAACTGAGGGGCCCAGTTTTATAACATCCAGAATCAAAGATGATATAAGTAGCTTTTTTTTCCGGGGAGAGCGCGAACACTGTCCCACCACTACCACAAATTGTGCAGTCAAGTCTCCCACATTTGGGGGAATCGCAGGGGTCAGCACATCTGGAGGGCAATGGATGAGCCTCGCCCTGGGAAAACCTTCGTGATCGTGGTACCTCCCCTGCCAGGTTAAGTATATAAGGACTTTTTTAATGTGAACTATTTAACTACAATTTTCTCTGAATTTTTTAATAACAGTAGAAAACAATATTATAATTTTGTCTCTGCTTTTATTTGTGCTTTTTAACCAGCACCATAGCTAACATTTAAATTACAATTGCAGGATTGGTACATTGAAAATAACCCTAGAAATTGGGGAAGCAGGGTGGCTATCCTGGAACATTAGCTCTATGAGACGACTGTGGGGTAAAGGGGAGTTCACGCTCAAACGTGTGGTGGGAAATGCACACGTTGTATTAATCCTTTGTTATGTGTGAATTAGAATATCACAAGCCCTGCCATGACCTGCAATAAAGAAACCTGTTTTAACCTTAATTTAACTTTCCCTAAAATTATTTGACAAGAGAACATTTTATATGTGTGACATCAACTAACATTCTGCGAAAGCTTTGATTCTGCAGAAAAATCCTGCGGGAATATTGTTTCAATGCTTAGGAAAGCAAAGGTGTCAGTTTTTTGCAAGTTTAATAAAAGATAAAAGTAATGGACTATTATGCAGTTGTAAAAAAGAAGGATCTATTATCCTTTGAGACAGCATGGAGGGACCTGGTGAGTATTATGCTATGCAAAATAAGCCAGTTGGAGAAAGACAAGTACCACATGATCTCATATGTGGAATTTAATGAACAAAATAAACTAACAAACAAAATAGATCCAGAGACATGGAAGAAGGGAACAGACTGATGAATCTCAGAGGGAAGGGGGTTGGAGGATAGGAAGAGATTAACCAAAGAACTTACATGCATATATGCATAACCCATGGACACAAGCAATAGTGTATGAAGGTGGGGGGTGGGAGGAAGCAGGAGAAGGGTGGCAATGGGGGAAAGATGGGGGACATCTATAATACTTTTAATAATAAAGATATATATTTTTTAAAAGATAAAATAGGCATTGTCAACTTTGCTTGACTTCAGCCTATTTATTTGGCAAACATACCATTTTTTCACTGAAACACAAATCCTGTGTTGGAAAATTAGTCATAGACAATCACACGCATGTAAAAGACATTTGATTTAAATTTCTCAATAATTTGCTAGAGAATATAAATATTTAAAAGGGTAAGTGTAAAGCAATATGGAACCATAAGATAGATACAATATCAATATAGAAATATATATGAATGCACCTCATAGATCTAATATATTCATTTACACAATTTTACCTTTTTAGTAATATTTTACTATAGGAACAAATTCTATAGATGATTGTTTATTTAATTTTTACATAATCCTTACGATTACTTGTGAATTTAAAATATAAAGACAGACATTTCAGCCTACAGTATAATTCCTTCTTCTTAAAATTCTGTTTCTATCTCTGCAGAACATATTTTTAGAAATAGAAGCCAGTGAGATGTGTGTGTACATGTGTAATACATGTACATAACAAACCGAATTGTATAGAAGAGCTTATAGAAAAGCAATTGACTATTGCCTCATTCATGCAAGTTTCCAGATACAAACTTTTTAAATTACTCAATGATGAAGCAAATTAAATGCTAGGACAAATTCTCTTTCTGTGGTTTCAGTGCCATGATCTTTAGGCTTCTCAAAATAGAACATTCTTGTTATAAAAATCACTTGGATTTTTCTCTTCTATATTTCTTTCATTGCTTAAATTTTGACACATTTTAGTTAGCTTCAACTTACACCACAACGTTCTTATCCAGTTATCTAGAACTTGAAATTATCTTTTTTAAAAACATACATAACATAAAATTTACCATCGTGATCATTTTTAAATGTACAGTCAGTGGTATTAAGTACATTTAATTGTTGTGCCACCATCACCACCAGCATCCACAGAGCTCTTTCCATCCTGCAACACTTGCAACTCTACCTATTAAACAGTAAGGCCGCAGCCCCTGGCAACCGCTATTTTACATTCTGTGTCTATGAATTTGACTCCTATGGGAACCTACTCTAAGTGGAATCATAAGCATTTCCTTTCTTTTTTCTGGAATTGGATCTCATTTTGTCCACAGTGTAAATCACACTGGGAGTGAGCTTCACTGATCTCTCCCTGTTGCATTAGTGTTTCTCCAGGACTGATGGGTGTCAGTGCTGACTTCCGTCTTACTGAGCGCTGGCAGGACTTTGTTCTCAAGTGTCTTCATTTCTCTCCTACGTTTTCTTATTTTGCTTTTTTGTCTTCTAATGTCCAGTTCTACTGAGGCAAATATAGTCAGATGGCATTTTGTAAATTTTTTCCTTTGTAGGTGACTTGTCTTCTTTTCTGTGGAAACACTTCAGATTTTCTTTTTATGCTCAATGTTCTACAACTTTACAATGATATATCCATGGCTGAGTATTTTTTGATCAATTGCTGTACTCAGGACATTTACATTTTTAGAGTCCTTTTACATTTTAGGAATTCTGTCCTTTTCCAGACATCTAGAATTTATTTAATAATTTCCTTTCAGCATTTTTTATTTTCTCTTTCTGGAAACGCAAGATTTTTGAACTACATACGTCTCTACGTATCTACATAGGTGTGTGTGTGTGTGTGTGTGTGTAGAAAGAGAATCCTTTTGCTCTATATTCTATGAGGTATCTTTTTCCCCTTTGACTATTTTTCTTGTCATTGAATTTTCTATGCCAACAGTTATGTGCTCTCAGAATACATTCTTGCTCTCTATTCTTAGTTTTATAGAGGCAATATTATTATAAATGTATTTTAGCACGTTATTTATTTAATTTTTAAAGACTATATTTTCTAATCTATCTTTTTCTTCTAGGGTCCATTTTTAAATTTTATTTTGGTCTTGGTTCTTCATGCTGCTATCTCTTCTCATATGCTAGGTGACCTGTGGTGTTTGTTCATGTACTTTTTAAAAAGGCTCTCTTTAGGTGCTCTTTGGATGCACTGAGATACGTGGTGCTACTCTCTTCTCTCTTTTAACAGTGGTCTGCTGTGCAGCTCTGTCTTATTTGACAAAGGCAGGGATATGCTGAAGAGTGGGCTTTGCTTTAGGATGAGTAAGTAGAGCACTTGACCTCCTTCCCACCATAATACTCGATCCTCACTCCCATGTATTTTTTCTCTTCAGTGCTGGCACGAGGATCTTAGAGGGTGATGGGCAGAAGAACATTGTATCTTAAAGTGCTTAGTCATCGGGAAGCAAGGATAAATCAACAGAAATAGAGACAAGTAGAGTTTGGTAGCAGTGCATTTTAAGGTGTTTTCACTTTTTTGTACTGTATTGTTTTAAAGAATACTTTAACAAACAGCAGCAGAAATAATATCTTAATTAAATTTACCTATTTGTGCTTGGAAGACAAAAACTAAGAGAGCTTTCGATACAAGTAAGTTCCTTAACTTGGTGAAGATTATAAACCAAAAATTTGCACTAAACTCTATGCCTAAAGGAAGGAAGACAAGGACACCCATTCGTACCACAACTTTTTTTTTAAAGAAAATATTTGCAAATTATATATGCAATAAGTTAATATTCAAAATATATAAGAAACTCATACAACTCAATAGCAAAATAAATGAGCAGAGAAATGAAAAGATACTTCTTTTCTTGGCTTATAAACAACAGAAATTTATTTCACACAGTCTGGAGGCTAGAAGAACAGAGTAGGTGGTTCACCCCAATACCTAGGAATAGAGTACTTAAAAACAAAGGAGAAATGGAAGGGTTGAAAGGAAAGAGATAAAACTACCTTTAATTTCAGATTATAGCATCATATAGCGAAACTATTTTTTAAATGCAGAAACTACTGGGACTAATAAGAAAATTCAGGCACTTGCTAGATATAAGAATGATGTACATAACACCAATAGTGATCATGGATAAAAGAGTAATAAAAGTGCCCTGGTCGGTTTGGCTCAGCGGTTAGAGCATCGGCCTGCGGTCCCGAGAGACCCGGGTTCGGTTCCCACTAAGGGCATGTACCTCGGTTGCAGTTTGTCCCCGGCCCTGGTTGGGTTGTGTGGGTGGCAGCCACTCGATGTGTCCCTTTCACATCGATGTTTCTCTCTCTCTCTCTTCCTCCCACTCTATCTGAACAAAATATCAAAAAAAAAAAAAAAAAAATGTCCTCGGGTGAGGATTAAAAAAAAAAAAAAAAAGAGTAATAAAAGTAAGTACAACTCCTCAAATAAATAAAGTTTCTAGGAATTAACTAAAAAGACAAAAGGTTTTCATAAAAAGGATTTGTAAATTCTAATGGTCTAAACAAATGAGAGGCTAATTCAAGGCTCTTGAATGGGATGATTTCATATAATAAAGATTTCAATTTTCCCTACTTTAATCTATAAATGTAATCCTGCTGAGAATTCTAGTTAGACTTTTTGAAGAAACTGATAGACACACTAAAATTTATGTAAAAGTAAAGGTACATTAATAACTGAAAAAAAGGAATGAGAAATCCCCATACCATTTATTAAGATGTGTTCCAGCGATTCAAATCTGGTCTAAACAAGGAATTTATAAACTCGAGAAGAACAAAGCAAGAAACTCAAAGAGAAAATGGACAAAGCGCATGAAATTATTTCATAGTCTCTATTGATTCTTGTTTACTTTATTATTTTTCGTAGAAATTCAACTATTCCAGGAAGACGCCTGTTCCTTCTTCTTAAAACTCATTTATTTTTATGTTAATACCAATACAGTATAAAAATGCATGTTAATGTTTTAAAATGTCAGGAAATAACAATTATCGTAACTCCCTTAAAAAGTCTGGCAATTATGCAATAAACAAATAGGACTCTGACATCAATGATAATTTTCTCTAAAAGACTCATTGGAGTTACAATTATCAAGTCATTTCAAAAATAAGGATAATTGCACTTTATAAAACAAATTTGCAAGAGAAACAATATAATATCAGGTTTTATCTATGCATACAACTCACCATTTCCCCTGGAGGCTAAAACAAATATTATATGAGTGAGGGCTCTTGTAAAATGTTTTGAAATAGATTTCATTAATGGTTTTTAGTGATAA